CAGGCTGGGCCGCGGGCAGGAACGCCTGGAGCCCTGGCGGCTGAGGGGGTGAAGCCATTTGCTCGGCAGGTGGGGTTGTGTCAGCTGCACGGTGCTGAGCCTGGGAAGTCTTGGGTTGCGCGTACCGGTGCCGGTGACATGGGAAATTTTAGGAGAGAAGTTCTGGAAACTTAATACAGGTTATTACGGAGAGTGCCAAGGTACGGCTTCTGCAGTTTCCCCGGTCCCACACGCCCGTCCGCTTTAGCAGAAAGAACCAGTTCTCGTGCCGACGGAGGAGCTGCTATGTCAGGGCAAAACTCCCCATTGGCAAGGCAAAGGACAAGTTGCTACCAGTAACCGAGGAAGGCTCCTGTAAAGCTCTGCCAGCAATAGCGTACCTTTTCGGTGTGTTTCAAAAAGCACTGCAGTTCACTCCCCTTCACTCCGGCCTGAATGCCTACCGCTAGCAAAGGTCCCCAATTAGGAGCACAGGCCCATTACTAATGGAAACAGTACAGCCGTGTAACACGAGGCTGAAAAATAAAGCATTTCCATATTTGTCGAAAAGAAAGCATTCCCCATGTTTGTCTGTTATTAAAAATAACGATGCTTTCGTCTCATCAGGATAGCTGACTATATTCTGATCCGTTCAGAACTTGAACTAAATCGTAGAAGATTCTTTTTCGAGAGCTGCAAATGTTTTAATTAGCCCCGATGGTTTGCAGGGCGCTGGCCTGTTTTTCAGTGAAACATCATTATTGTGATAAAACACTGTCGAGGCAGCATACGTGTCCTGGATTAGGGCCATTCAGCTGACTTGATCTCACCAACCAACGGAGAACGAGAAGCAGCCGTCGACTGGGCATCGGTATTTGAACTGATCCCGTCCTACGGTTTTTTAACAGGAGGAAAGTAAACGACAAGCTTCATCTCATTAAAGGCACCGTGGTTTGGTATAAACAAACCCAGTGCACGCGTTTGAGAGCGAGCAAAACCATCGTGTGTGCCTGCACCCTGGAAAGCAGTAAGTGGGGAAGGCACCCCGAAGGTCGTACTAGACAAGCCCTCAGATTCTGCACGTTCAGGCAAATGGACCAGCACGCCAAGCAAGAAGTTCTGCACTGTTTTCCTCAAAAATGCAGGCTCTTCCTTCAGCCTCAGCCCTCTCGTGTCAGTTTGCCGAAGCACCTGCAGGGGTCAGAGCGCTTTTGATTCACCAGAAGTTTCCACCAAAAAAACCCTGCCGTGATTTGGATGAGAGCGGTTTGTAACAACGCACCGTTTCCTACGAGCTGGAAACGCTGCCTCTTGGTCATGTCTTTTACTGACGAGGCACGTGAAGGAGTTTTTACCTCTTCTGTGTAGCGTCGCTGAGATTGCTCTGCAAATGAGGCATACGGTTCCTGCAGCTGTATTTTTAAAACACTGCTCATAGACCTGAGATTGTGCAGAGAGGAATCACAAAAGTGGTTTCGGTGCTAGGGAGGATGCTGCACAACACAATACATGATCAGAGACTTGAATTCAATAAGCTTTAGTTTATCAAAAGATGAAAAGTGAACTGATTACCGGGTATGAATCCCTTCGCGTGGAAAAAAAAAAAAAAAAAAATGAGCTGGTCTATGAAAAATGCATAGGGATTTTTCCAGGACCTGTGAACATAGCCAGCATGGAAATCCCAGACATGTTGGATTGCGTGCGCCCGCGGTTCAGTATTTCCCAGACATGCCAGACCTACCAGTCGTGCACTGTACTGATGTGCAGTATACTCAATGCACAAAGAATTCATTGGACCTACTGTGCCTGTTTGCCTGTGTGGGAACGAACAAAGAAGCGCTAGAAGCAGTACAAAAACAGATGAAGAGGAAAGCTACGGCCGGCTTAGATAAGAATGTTGCAGGGCCCTGAGAAAAAGAGAGCAAACTTTTGAGCTGACTGCCAGACGAGAGAGGCTTCGGCTGTGAAGAGGATTAGTGCCCTGCTTCATACGCTGCTCACCCAGTGATAGCTGCGCGTGAGGGAGGAAAATGCGGAAATAGTTGTGGAACAAGGACCAAACTTTAGGGTCCTTGTCGCCTTATGCCTTGCCCTTTAGGTAGAAGTCACAAGCTGCTCGTGCGTATGCTTGCGTTTCTGGTCCCAGGAATCTAAATGCCTCATTGCACAGTGGCACAGATTCCACGGGAATCTGGTCCCAGGAATCTAAATGCCTCATTGCACAGTGGCACAGATTCCACGGGAAAGGTAGAGAATGCTCCTTGCCCCAAACCTGAGAAGAGTCCATGGGGACAATGAGGTACTCCTCGGAAATCAGCAAATCTGGTATCTGACAACTTTACAGGGAAGGTGAATATCCCTGCTTTCCCCAGCAAGAAGCAGTGAAGGATCCTTACAGGGAGATTCACTTACCCTGCTTCTTGCTGCCTCTAGATTTGCTAAGGGGTTTACTGGTCCAAATAGCTTAGGAGTCAGTAGGTTCAGCTCCTGAAATGAAATCCAGCTCTTAATTTCTCCTAGATACAAGTTACCAAATACTGCTAAATACAACTGTGGGAGGAAGAAAAGTATTCTGATAAACAGACTGTAGCAGCTGAAATTTCCTGGGCTTGTTTTCCTGTGATGTTAGTGTTGTACCGAAGCCACGTCCAGGCTGGATGAAGTTGCAGCGGTGACGGAGTGGAGCTGTACAGCTTTCTTGGTCATCATGTAACGTGGGGCTTTTGCAAAACCCCGCAGTGCCATGAGAAAACTACTACCCCCTTCACTCATTCCTCAGTCCTCTCTACTCACTGCCCTGCCTACCGGAACATCTCCCCACGTGAAAAATAGGTGTTCAGCATAAACCTCCTTATAAGCCTGATACCCACAATAATGACAACTGAAATACAGATTTCATTGTATGACATAGGTGAAGATAACATTTATGATACCAAAAATGAAAGCATCTTCCCTCCCCCCCCCAACACTAAGTAAAATATCAAAATGTCTTCATTTCAATTCAGAATATTGTTTCTGCTGTGCTGATATATACTGGTAACTCCTTAGGTATCTCTGAGTTTTGGGAACACTGGCGATTTCAATACCAAAGTTGTACTTTTTTTCTATGCAAATGTTTTGTTTCTTTTCTGTGGCTCGTTGTGTCTTTGCTGCACATTAAATTCCTTTTTTGTTCTTTAGTCTGTTAAGATCGTTTGTGTCTCCTCTGTAGCAGTCTCTTGACATAAACTCTTTCGTAAACAGGTTATACACATGAGCAATCTCTACTCCCAGAAAAAAAAGATCAAGATGAAACCTGCCACTAACACAAGCAGTGCTGAATCAGTCTAAAACACATGAGAATAATTTGTCTCTTCTTCACAGAGCTATCATGGACTTATTACATTAGTAGCTGCAAGGCATTTCAAAACCATTAAGTGGAAAATGGTGGGAAATTGGGAGAGCGAATATGAGAGTTCATTTTAATAGAAACAATCTTTTTAAGAATTGTTTTGAACCAGTTCATAATAAATAAATATTCCATCAGGTAGTCTCTGTTGGTTTTTTCAGCCCTGTAAGCTTTTCCTCTCAGCTGAATCCCTAGCTTGGGGCAACTCAGTAGTTCAAAATTTAAGGCCGGAATAACTGACAAGCAGAATTGTTTGTGGCTTTTTCCTAATACATCTTTGATTGCTCATATGGAACATGCAAGGAAAAGGACCTGCTTTTTTAATGGCCTCAGAGCAACTGCATAGGCAATTTTAAAATACAGTCGCATGACTAATTTACTTGTGCATGCTTTTTCGCAAATTTAGAAACTATACATTAATAAAAATTATAAATAAATAAGCTACACGAATGAATAGGACTGGCCATTTACAGGTGGAGTTCTTCACATTGCACTTAAATCACTGAAATCGTTCTGCATTCAACCTAAGGATTTTTTCAGATCTGAATATTTCCTTGATGTGGATTTTCTGGGTCTGGAGCACAAGGCTTACGAGGAGCGGCTGAGGGAACTGGGGTTGTTCAGCCTGGAGAAGAGGAGGCTGAGGGGAGCCCTCATCACCCTCTACAACTGCCTGACAGGAGGGGGGAGCCAGGTGGGGGTCAGCCTCTTCTCCCTGGGAACGGGCGATAGGACGAGGGGAAATGGTTTGAAGTTGTGCCAGGGCAGGTTTACGTTGGACATGAGGAAAAATTTCTTCCCCGAAAGGGTTGTTAGGCTCTGGAATGGGCTGCCCAGGGAGGTGCTTAGGGCCATGGTTTAGTGGTGGGATGGCAGGCTTACGTTAAAGGTTGGACTTGATGATCTTAAACGTCTTTTCCAACCTGAACGATTCTGTGATTCTGTGATTTTATAATACGTATCTTAAAAATTGCAGGGTTCAAGAACTAGGGAGTCAATACCTTTTAAAGGCTATTTACCAGGAGCATATCAGAAGAAATAACTGCTTATCTAGAAATGCAATTTTGTATTTAAATTGATTACACTCAAGGTCACATTGGGTTTAGCTTCTTTAGCATGAAGAAAATACTTTGAACAAATAAGCATAGTTAGCAAGGAAAGGCAATTCACTGTCAGTTTACAAAAGAGAAGTAGAAGTCTTTTAAACGGGTATGTCATGCTAGGGATTATATGCATTTTTATTACAGAAAATCTGGCCACCAGAAAAGTAGGTGGATTAGACAAGCATCTGTAATCCTTTTCATAGTGCTGCATACTGATAAGATTTTAAATGTTAAAATATAAACCTGAAAATACTGTGTTTATTTCATTGCAATCGCCTGTGTAGCAATAGCTGCAGTATAAACCAGAGGAAATCAGATAGGGCGAGGGATATGCTAGATGTGATCTAAAACTTGTCATAGCTAATTCCCTAGCTTAGTATGTCAAGAGAAGTTCATAGAGTTCTAGGCAAGGTGCTTCCAATTCTGAACAGGGTTTTGAACTCTTGAAGGAAAAGCATGAGAGGCTGAAACTGGTGGGTAAAGCCCAAGCTGGTGGGCAGCGGATTATCAAGGTAAGTCAGGCCCTAGCTGTAATACTCTTTATTTCAGTTCAGGCTCATCAAAACTTGACTGAGGTTCAAACTCTTCAAATAACTGATTCAAATAGGGGCAAAAGGGCTTGCCCTCTGGTTTGCAGCTGAATCAAATGCTGAAAGGCAGGTTGGCCAATTGTGAGAGAACAGCAACCTTTTTCAGAAACCACTGGAAAAAAAGAGTTTTTAATAGCAACATTAAGGACAATGAAGATCTCCCATTTCTCTTTCTAGGAGGATTATACCTATAAACCATCTCCAAAATACATCTTCTGTGTTAGAGAAATCTCACTTCATCAGGTACATTCATATGTGTGGGCCTAGTCAGCTTTGGATTATCAAGAGTAACCTGAAAAGGGGGCGGGGGGGGAGGGGAGAGCACCCCAAAACCCAACCCTACCCCCAAACCCACAGGCAGGACAAGATGAATGCAAGGTGGTCTTTGGGATGGCGCAGTGGGAACGCAGTGGGGAAGAGAGTAGGCTGGTGCCACCGGTGGCTGCGGAGGGGGGGGACCCGGGCGGGTGTGGGGTACAGGTGTGGCAGTGTCCTGCCAACCCAACTCTTCTGCTCGCGGACGTGAGCTGAGTCGTGTCGGGCCTTTCAGGTGCCTCCTGTCTCGCAGCACGGTTAATCCATAACCCAGGCAGCCCCTCAGCAGTTGATCGAGAGGCAACTATAGCTGATCCTGCCTCAGGGCAAGGGGGCTATACAAGGCCCCATGAGTTTCCTAACGATGTTCTCTATAACTTTTTCAGGCAGCATTCTGCATTCTGGCTCTGTTCTGACTGCTGGAACTCACAGATGCCAGAGGTTATTAAGACAATCTCAACCTGGCCCTTTACTTAGCAAATTAAAACTATTTTTTATGTCTTTATTAAAGCTGCATGGAAGCTTTCATTCCAAGAAATCACAGCGTTATTTCCAGTGTTTTCTCTAGCTCTTTCTAGATTTTAATGCTGATAAATGTAACTGGCCATAAAAGCTACCTATCCCTATTAACTTGCTTCCATTCATGTCTATAATCACCTTCTGGATTTCTGCAGATGATGATGTGGGTTAGCACAAATGTTTAGGACAAAGTCAAAGGCTGTTCTGATTACTACAACTCCAGGTATGCCAAATTAAGAAGTTTGCCTTCTGCTATCTACCAAGTATGTTGAGGAAATCAGATTTTGCTAGTTCATCCATCCATCCATCCTAGAAAGCTAATATGTGGCTTATGAGAGTAAAGCAGAGGCATTTTCCCACAGTAAACCAGTATTGCTATAAATTGTTTGAGCTTCTTTATTTCTGTTGATGGATGGTAAATAGCCAGTCTAACTGTTCAGCTTTTTAACAGCTTGGTTAGAACCATGCACAGCTTGGATACCATTTGCAAAGTCCAAATGTCTAAAGTTACTGTGGTGTGGTTACAGTGAGAGAAAAAGGTTGGTATAAATCAGCATTCACACCAATTGTTTTTGGTCTGTGTTTTGTTTTGTAGTACTTTAGGGCAAAACCCCAGATTACTGTATTTTTTCAAGGGTATCTAGGCTTTACTTACATTTTTGATTTTTTTCCTGTACCTATTTTGTTATTCGTGTTCTGATATTAGTTGGCCTCCCATGGCTGATTTCACTATATTAGCAATAAGTATTTGCTAACTTCTTTAACTCATGAAGGCGAGTTTATTTATAAAAGAGACATTCTAAGGTTTAATATGATTAATGTGCTCTCAGGTCAAGCACTCAAGTGTTTGACTGAAATGTTTTTGCCTTTTTGCATGTTATTGAAAATATTTCTTTTTTTTTTTCTTCAGAAGAGAAGATACAGAGAGTTTAGGTGACAAATTTGGAAAAAAGGCTAATCAGCTCTCACAAGCCCATCTTCAAATTCTGCCAGAAACACTGCTACAGGGCTCCTATTATTTTATGGCAGTGAAGTTTTCTTACACAGTAATAAGGATAAAGATTTGCTCTTACGCTTTGTCTGCCTGCTTAACTCTTCACAGCAATGCAGACTAGCAGTAAAAAATTATTTTCTACTGGCCAGTTAATCTGGTTCTACAGGTGATTTTTCATTACTAGGTTTCCAAACGACAAGCAGATCACACCTGCGACTGTTATACAGGGCATATGCAGCCTCTTCACACTCTGTCTCATCATGGGAAAGTGTAGCATTGTCATCGTCTTGACTTGAATTTTAGCAATGTTCTTCTCAGCCTTCAGCTGGATCTCTTGGTCCGATTGAGACTAAAGTGCTCTTCCAGTCCTGTTGTCATCCTACTCTTTGTAGTACATTTTAGGAGGATAAACCCACTGATTCTGTCTCAAGAACGTGAGCAGGAAAAGGTCAGCAGTTTGCAGTTCCCCTGACATACTTGAAAGAGATTCAGAACAACTGGCAGCAGGATGTAACCAAAATCCAGGTCCTTCCTACACTTTCTGAATCAGTTTATATATACAGCATCAAGCAAGGGCAAAAGCATCTTGAGCCACCTTCCTTTCTTTGGTCATCCAATACAGGCTTCAGCAGATCAAGCTCCCAGTACGTTATTTTTTCATAACATTTTCCTACCTCTCAGCTTACATATTTCTTTTTTTCTTTCAAACACGAAAGCGTTTTCCTTGATTCAGCATGATGCAATTGGAATCATATGTTTTACAGAGAACCTTCCAGAATGAATACAAACAAAATACA